TATAGAATCAATTGTATGTACCAATCGTAGAGACTCTCACAAGCCAACGTTTATGAAGATTCTGCGTTGTAATGATTTGGAGATAATGATATCACATCGTTTCTGTGTGCGTCCATAGGGTACGCAGACTACTCACAGAGTATGTCCTTCACACGCAGCATCTGCCACGCTGAGTTATATGACAGGGAGCGTATTAGTACGCCGACTTTGTGTCAATAAAATCACAGTACGATTGTAATCTTTATATATGTATATAACCGGCAGTGTGGCAGGTGAAGCCTTAGGTGCATAATCTGAGAATATCTAAATAATCAATCGTTGTTCCTTAAAGCCCGTTCAGTTGGTAGTTGAATCGATAATACGCTACCAGTCTGCCGGGCCCAATATAGAGAGGCGCGCCAATTCGTTCAGGGTGTGCCTGGTTTCAGGTACGGGGTGACACAGGGGAACGGGTTGAGAACCGCGACGAAGTGAGTGAACGGGTGAGTCAGGAGGAAGAGCACAGAGGGAGTTCCTCGAAGGATCGAGAACAAAAAAGAAACAGGTTTCTTTTCCTGCCATTACTGCTGTTGCTGCCGCTTCTTCTTCTGATCCGATCGGCTAGCTGTCTACTGTTCATGCGATCAATCTCGAATATGTGCTCTATTGAGCAGAGCTTTCAGACGGGACAGTTAGCTCAGCAGCCTGTCGAGTCTGCTATAGTACCTTATTCGCTATTGAGTCTGCATATAGAAGGAGGCCCCAAAAAACGAAAGTTGTATGCACATTGACAAGTCGCTGGTTCGAGCCTCTCTGCCTCTTTGTTCGTCCTTCCCTGCTTCGACTTTTCGTTCTCGTTTCTTTCCGACTTTGTCTTCTATTTCGCTATGATAATCTTTACTATCAGAATACGCTACTCGAATAGAGTCCTCTCGTCGTCTGCTGTCATACTTTACATATGCAGAACGAAGGGCGACGACAGCAATAACATTAATGGCCACATTCTAATATATATGTTTCACTAGCAGGTGTCTGGCGAAATCGTCTGCAATTTCACACGTAACAATAACAGCGATGCACTATATATACTGGCTGGCCAGGAAGTGTGTCAAATTGTAAGAACTCGAAAATCATCCGCATGAGTTTTCGACTATAAACGTGCCTTTATTTCGGCTTTTTGCATAGTCCTTTTTTGGCGCCTAACAACAATCACTAACGAAGCCATTGATTCAACGGCCGACATTTACTAGATGTATATAATCGTTCAAATTGGCTATTAGTGAGAACGGGGATAGGAAAATAAGTGCGGAGCAAACACAAGGCGCCCACAATAATGCCAGCTTTACAAAATCGCTCGTTATAAAGCGAGCTTCATCACGTTCGCTTAGCGTCCAAGGCGGATCCCAGGCCACTTTAAAGTTATTTGAATGGATAGTAGTAGTGGTAGATGAGATGCTTTCGTTCGCTGAGCTCCCGACGGCGACGACGACGACGGCGGCGGCGGCGGCGCAGACGACGACGACGACGAAGGTGGACTCGACCCGGTAGAAGACGAACAGACGGATAACCCGTTGTTCTCAGCGTCTGCTCGCCTGCCCGGTTGCTGGGTGAGATAGTTCCTGCGACTGCTCCTCCTTAAAGATTGCATGACCTTGAGTAACCAGCGAACCTGCCGCCGCTGCCAGACTGCCAAGCGGTAATAGCTCGTATGTATGAAGGAACGCCTGTGTACATACTATATCAGCCTATCTACGTATCTACATAGGCAGATTGGTGGAATATCTGTTCTGCAAGGCTGGTGCCCGTAGTTGGGAGGCAGGGTGTCGTCGTTTGTTGAATAGAACGAGTTGTTGCATGGCCGCCGCCGCCGCCGCCGCTTTTGCTGATCAGACATCTATCCTCGATCGATGCGACGAATGGAACAGGCTGAGCGATACCATTCCGCAGCAGCGTTAGAATCAGCAACAGGAGCAGTTCTGGCCCCCTTCCCCATCCCTCCCTCCACTCCTCTCTGTCAGCCATCAGTTTTCGTTCGTTCATCCGCGCAGTCATCAAGGGAAGGAAGAAGAAAAAGGAACGAACAACCACTATCACGATGACGAAAAGGTCGTATCGTTGCTGGTATATACCTACTACGCTGATCGTAGTACTGGTATGAACGGTGTGAGGTTCAGCCATTGGCAGTGCTTTACTCTCCAGCCGGTTTTTGCCACACTTCCTGGTTGTAGTTGTCGTTGGCCATCGGCAGGACTCGCAATACAGCCGCTACTTACCAAGCGAGCAGGTAGGTAATCATGTAACCAGTTCAGCCGCTGGCCCGTCGGTCGATTGGCTCTCTGACGTTAGCTAACAACATCAATCCCCTCTTTGCTGAACTACACCATGGCATAGCGTCGCTGCAGCTGCCGTTGCACGTTCCGATGGTTTGACTGACTGACTGACTGACTGACTGACCGACCGACCGACCGACCGACCGACGTAGAATTTCGAATAACGCGTTCGCACATTAAAAAAATAGGCAAGAATACACAACATCTGGCGCGAAGGGGGGTTTCGGACTAATTACCAGTGTATGTCAGTAGCCAGCCGGTTATGCAGATCGCTTTGTGTAGATAAAGCGCTGAACGATACTGGAAATTAGAACCATTCATCATATGAATGAGCAGTCGCACTGTCTTTCCGGAGTAAAAGCAAATCAAAGATTATTAAGAAAGATTAAATGAAATACTAATGCTGACGACTGGTTACTCGAACGCGATGCTTTCACTTGTAACTTATCATAGTATCTTCCTAGAGTAACATTGGGAGAGATAAGTCTATTTCTATGGTGTCCCGCATCCTCCGTTCGGTTCCGATTGGAGGTGTACGCTAATTATACAGGCCGCCATCAGCTCCAAGTCGAATGATTTAGTCGATCGCGCTACACGAAACGCGAGCGATAGGATTGCCGTTGACCGTCATCAGGACTCTGAGGCACACTATGACGATGAGGATATTTATGTGGACGAGTAGTAACTGTAAACCCACTATAGGTAGACACTGGGCTGAAAAACAAAAGAGCCTGCGGACAACTACTGCGACACCTCCTACTCTGCAAGGCGTCTTATCGCTTATGCCGTAAACACTGTGTGGATGCGCAGCAGAAGCCGGAGGTGGAGCAAGACGCACAGCAGAGAGCGACCGCAGCTCCCATCATAGAGATTCACTAAGAAGTGTGTTTTACTATCTCGATTCGCGCGGTAGTAGTCCACTGCCGATAGTACCAATGAACGAGTTGTGATCAGTCTCAAAGAAACGTCTTCTACCTCAAGCAAAACAACATAGATCCCTTTGCGGTTCCGCGCCATAGAGAAGAAGCCCGCTCTAAGCGAAACGTCGGCCGCGCACGTTAAGCAAATGAGCAAAACTAGATGCTCCCCTCCGTACGCCACTCGTCGTGTGCACATCGGAGTAATGTCGACGGCGTTTTGTTTGGCTGCGTAGGATTAACGAAGCGTCTGTACAAAAACACGAATAGAAAATATCTCGCTTGGAAAGCCGTATAGAACACGGCTTTCCTATAACGAAATGCATTTATTGAAACCAGCATTTCCTGAATGACACTTCAATTGTCCTGGTCAACACTGCACGCCACCACGGTGAGAGTTACGCTGCAGTTCCTCGAATCCTTCAGCCAGCCTTCGAGCAAACAATAGTTCTAAGATGAAGAAGCTAAACGAGGAGAATGCGTAATACAGAAAAGAGAACTGACATCTATCGTAAAGGAAGTGATGTACCTGATTCTATTTATTGCACTTACTCCTTTTTGGTAGAAAACACGCATCGCAGCAGTATAGCGTTGACGAATGCGCGCAACCAGCGCCGCCTGACGGAGGATCGCTTGCGATTTGTGCAGCTGCAGGAGTTGAACGGCGACAGTGGATGCTGTGGGGGTACCGCTCGGGCCCAACAGCTGGAGAGGAAATGCCGACGCCACGGCGACCCGTTGCGCGACATACTTCAATCCAGTCGCCACCTTTTCCGAGATGGCACTGGAATGCTGCTTCGCAACGGCACTGGCGTTATTTGACGCAATAACAAAAGAACTTGTGTTCGTCATAGTAAGATCTTGTAACTTTGCACTTGATGGACTGTCTTTGCCGGCAAAGTTTTGCGATCCAGAAACAACGTTTGACGCTGTTTCTTGGCTAGGACCACTAACTTGTGATTCACAGAGTATCCCGTTGGAGCCTCCTTTGATGTTGGTCATTTTCGAAAACGAGTTGTTTATCGGTTGCGTTTCTATTCGCTGCTGCGGTGTAGTACCCATCTTACAGGAGGGACTATCCGGAATTTCTATTGTAGTCGACTGCTTCGCAGACTGACTTACTCTTAGAATTGCTCGTGTTCTAGTTAAATCTGCTTGTTGTTGCGATGCGGCCAGAGTTGACGACTGTGGTATTTTCGTCTGGCCAGGTAGAGTTGTCTCGGTGTTGTCATCAACGTTAGTACTGTTTTCTCTGCCACCAACATTTCGATCGTCACTGCCGTTTAAACTCTGATTGATAGCAGGCCTATCCTCCCTCCGAAACATGGATAACATTGGATGAATTGACTTCATAATTGCCGGCACGGTCTTCTCTACCGCTTTGTCTTCGACGATGCCGACAGCATTGACCTGGTTGTTGTTGTTTGACGGCATCGTCATCACCTTATCGTTTTCACTCGTTTTGTCCGGAAATACCCGTATCACCTCCACGCTGAGCACCTCGCGAACAGCGCTCGACATCTCTTCGATAGAAACAATATCAGAGCTTATCGTGGTCCTTATGACTGGTTCAATCGTCGTCGCCGGTGCCGCCGTCGGCGGCGGCGGCGGCGCCAGAGTGGTTCTAGGAGCGGGATCAGCTAGGACCATCGTCGAGAAAGGAACAACAGAAGATTCTTCGACAATTGTCAACCTCGTTCCTGTCGCTAAGGCAGCACCATCGTCATCGTTGGATTGAGAATGTCGAGGATGTCGCATAAGGCCAATTACCACCTCGGAGCGTGTGGCCTGCGCTGCGTCGTGCGTGTTAGCAGCTGGTATATGGACACAGAGGACGATTGCTAGGCCAGCGAGGAGGACGTGCTCAATGTGTCGCATCATATTTGCATCCCTTCGTTTCTTCGCGGACTACCTATAGCTGTCACACTGGTTGTGTTATCTTTACGATAAGCTGCTAATCCTTAAGCAGCTGACTACAAGCTGGTGTTAAACGAAGGCCGTTGTACGGAAGAAACCTTTTGAACTTAATTAGAAACTTGCACTAGCCACGAAGACCACTCTCGGAAACGAGTGGGAGACATTAATTTCCCCCCGAAAAATCACTCCAAGAACATAACGAACACAATAAAGCTCCACAAGTCAGTGTATCCGGGGAGCGCGGGCTGTACAACACAACAGATGATGTCAAATTGAACAGTCGCTGAGTTACCCTCGTACACACTCTATCACAATATTCAGGTCCTGCGCTGTCGCACGTTTTGGCCGCGCCCACAACTTGACAGCAGCCGCAGCAGCCGCCACAACGCCAACAGCAATTCACTGACGCTCTGGTCCTAGAACGCGAATTTGCAGCAAGGCGAGACTGCAGCGTACAAAATACGGATGCTGCGCTGCGAAAGAAATGCAGGCCGGCATTCATCCCGCCGCTGGCTAGAGTACGACGGCCATCGGCTCAATCGTAGACCCAGAGGCGATGGACGTGCGACTACGATTTCTATCACCGCAGTTCACCTTCTCCAATGCGTGTTGGCTTTTGTCTGTGCCTTCGTCCGTGGATCAGTGCCTATTACTTAAAAGGTCCTGGAAACATCGCATAACTCCTGTACGAACATAAGGCGGGCGATTCACTCAGCTGCCCGTCGGGAGTCCACTCAAGTAAGGGCCAGGGTAAGTGTAAAGCGCGAGGTGGACAACAGTAGAGACCGTCACATCATTTATGTACTACTAGTCGCCAACTTGCTACTGCTGCAAAGCTGATCTCTCTTTCAAGTGTGCAATAGGCCAAAGATCAACGGCTCTCGAACGAACGAACGACCGAGCAGACCTCTCATTTCGCTTCTTGTTGCTGATGCTCCAGGCTGGTTGGCTGGCTGGCTGGCTGGCTGGCTGGCTAGCTAGGTGAGAACGATGATGATGATGTATAGCGGCGCCTTGAACGTCTGTGTTTCTGTCCGTATCTTTCAATGTTGATAGGTCTGGCCAACGCGTGCTCCACCTTTTTCTTTAGTAGCCGGTCGTTGTTGTTCGATTCTGTTTCACTGTCTGCCTCGGGCTTGCTTAGGGTTTTTACGACTTCGCTGTTGTCGTCGTCATCATCGTTCTCATCTTCGTCGCCTTCGAATCGCTTCGTCGTCTTGACTGCTGGACGGCCGAGCGCGAACTGACTGAACGTAGACTGACGCGCCCGCCCGCCTGCTCGCTCTTGGCTGGTTCGTTCTTCTTCTTGTTGCTCTCTGTCGCTGCTGCCGCTACTCCTTCTCCTTCTACTACCGCTACTACGGCTACGACTACTACCCGTAGCAGCATCACCAAGACCAATACTACTCATGCGACGACGACGACGACGACGACGACGACGACGACGACGACTACTACAAGTACTATGACCGCCGCCGTCGCCACCGCTGCTGCTGCTGCTGCTGCCGCCGCAGCACTCGCTTCACTCCACTCGCCGTCCCCGAGCACCTCCCTCCCCCATGGCTCTGCCTGGCTCCCGCCGTTGCTGCCGCGGCCACCACCGCCACTAGCAGCAGCCGCAGCAGTAGCAGCCGCAGCAGCAGCAGCCGTCATTCAGGCTTGTCTCTCTGACTATTTTGCTGTCGTTCTGTCTTTCTTCCTTCCTTCCTTCCTTCCTTCCTTCCTTCCTTCGCTCCTTCTTTTTCGTCTTCGTCAGCTTCTTCTTCTTTACTGCCTACCTCACAGCCGCCATGATGCTACGGATGATGATGCTGCTGCTGCAATCGCGGCAAGAGCCGCAGAGGTAGCAAAACTAGCGCCACCGCGCCACGAGAACCAGCACCGGCGGCAGCAGCACCAGTAGTCGTAGTAGTAGTGGTAGCAGTATATGTGTAGCGGCGGCAGGTAGTAATTCGTAGCAGACGCTCCTCATTTGGCCGTCGCAGTCACCGACGCCTTTCTGCTATGTTCTTCCTGTCAGTCTTTATTCTTCGTTTTTTTTCTCTTCGGACCCTTTCTATTCGTCGCCCGTTGCCTACTCTCCTCGCATTCGCTCACTACCCTCTGGCCTTAGGCAGCAGCAGCAGCAGCAGCAGCAACAGCAGCAGCAGCAGCAACAGCAGCAGCAACAGCAGCAGCAGCGGCAGCCGTCACCGTCGATGCCGCCGCCTCGGGTTTTATCTCTTGGCGATACTCATTGGTCACCGCGGCCAGAACTCATTCCTTTATATTACCATCAGTTACAGCAGTAATAGCAGCATAAGAATGGTCACAACGGCCCGCTACCGCCCGTTGTTGTCACAATATCTCCCACAAACCGCTACTGCTTGTCTTATCCACGCTATTTCTATACTTTCTTAATAGCACTACAAATACGGCTGGCATTATCAGACAACGTTTATCAAATGACGTGCTGCTTATCTATGACACATTAGCAATACCAACATTGGATGCATGTAGATATATAGCTTCGATAGCTTTGTAGAAGTCCGTGCGCCATTCTATCGACCGCTCTCTCTTTCTACCTTCGTCTATTTATATAGACATAACCTTTATGTTTCTCTAATTGGTCCTTGCGCCTTCGTTTCCGTTTTCATCACAACTTATGTTGGCTAGGAGGGCGCCTATCCTTACTACAGCTATTGTTGTTGTTGCTATCGGTGGCCATCTTTAAGTCGACCAGAGGGAGTCCGTGTTTGCCACCTGCCTTCAGTCAGGAATAAAGGCAACGCAGATCTGGCGTTTGACCAAGGCTTCTGACTGTATCCTCTCACATTTGACCCTGAAGAACAAAATACGTTTTTTTTCTCCCTTATGTTAGTGTATTTTTTTGTGTCACTCGATATAGGCCTACATACCGATAGTAGTAATATGTAGTGGAAAACTGCTACACTTGTGTAGCATCCTATTCATTATTAAAATGATATTCCCAAAATAGAATCAAGAAACAATGACCCTAGAGTTGATTTATACGATTTTTTATTGCCCTTTTGAGTCTAGGACTCGCATCAAAGTAGAGAAAGCGTTACTAGAAGACGGGGCTTCATAAGCCCATGATGTGATAGAGTGACCCTTCACATGTGCGCGTGTAACAGCACCAATGACTGTTTAAAAACAATCAAGCTATCGAAATCTGTAATATCCAGACTAGTTGGGTACTGCGAGACCTCCAGCATACTCATTTTTAACTTAATTACCACGTAACACTAAAGTTATAAGTCGGCTCAAGCGAATTAGACACATGCTTGTCGGTGTATCCGGTAATAATGCATCCCAATAGGTAAAGTGGACAGATACGATATACGTCAGAGTCTGATAATGCAAGGACACTTGAGCCAATGCTGTGCACTAAGGCTATACGAAAAAAGCTCTGCCAACAGTTGTCATTGCCATGCCTATTATAGTTTTGCTTTTTACGGCGAGTTGATGCCGGTGAAAGTCGCTTAAAGGTCTAGAAGAAGTGTGAGTTGTATTTGGCCAAAGCATACAAGATTAAAAATGAATGTACACTATGGCCACATTTTGGACCCATCGTGTTGGAAGCACGAGTTTACCGTGTCAGCATTAAATAATTAACTGTGACCTCTGTAGATACTGCATTCCTGCTACCGACTATAGTGAGGTTAGGAGGTCTTAGGTTAGGTAAAACGAGTAACTTGACCACAATGGAGAGACATCTAGGAGAAAATGAACATTGCGATCCCGCGCAATAAGTTAACATTTGTTTTCTATTCAGGCTCACAAACCGTGTGTCGAATTAATAAATAATGGTCTAGACTTAAAGAAGCTTCAACACACGAAATTATGATTATACGTTTTTAGGTAGTTAGAATATGTGTTTGCCATTAAAAAAGCTAGGGATAAATATCTCGAGAACAACAAGGAATAGTTTACAAGTGATGCTATTTTATAGTTCAGCCTGTTTAGGCTCGTTCGGCTGAAATGCCCCTGATTTCTGATGTTTTTGTCAACAACTTAATATACTTTTCCTATATATCATTATTATTGCACTTCAACCTAAAGTTGGCGTTATCTGAATCTTCAGTCAAAAACAGCAGGAATATAACTGTTTTACTTGCTTTTATCGCTAAAGGTGCTGTAGCTAGGGTTATACTTATGAACGATACTTAATCCGTTTAGTTGCGGAAAAATAGAAAACCAGAAACCAATTATTGTTACTCACTATCGAATAGTAGTCTACAGTAGAACAGCAATCAGCGAGAATTCAGGTCCTAATATGGGAATTGCCCTTTCGGACCAACCGGGTTAGCTAGGATCCTATCAAAACCTCTATTGGAGTGGGCAGCTATAGAAATCAATAAGATATTTTTTAGCGTATGCGTATAAACACTTATTAAATGCCACCATATTGTAAAAGTTATATATGAAGCATTGTTTAATATAACAAGGGGGTAGATGCCTAAAAAATAGAAATGCGCTGCCCGCTGCATAATCAAATCAGCAGCATAAATTGCTATAAAATTTTGGACAAATCGAAAGTCTTCGCATTCAGTAGGTGAGAAAGAAAATAGTATGTTTTATCTTAACAAGTTAGTACATCGGTGTTAGTTTTACATAGGTCCGTCACTTACGGCAAGATCTAGCATGTGTACTAATCGACTCCGTAGATCCAGTTTGGAGGTGGAGACCTACATTCTAGCTACCGATGGTAAATGCATAATCACTTTGTACCTGCAGTCGAACTTTTTTTTTTGTCAATACGAATTTCATATTTACTAAGAAGCTGGTAGTAATTAGTGCAATCTTGTCTCGAAAGATCAAGCTACAGTCAAGCAGATCCCTAGTTCAACCTTCAAAGGTTTGACTCAGTAAAATCGTATCGCTAACATCGTGCCTAGGTGTATATTCTTATCATTGTGTGTTACAGGGGGTACACTCTGCACAGTTCGGGTGAACGTTTTTTTTTTTTGTGTTTTTTTTTTTTATTGAGAGGATACTGACTAATTTAATGTATTAAAATGCCTTGTCTAAAGCGAGTTTTCAATGGAACCCAAATCGGATGCAGCCGACATATTTGTTAAACAAGATTAACTGTAACGTTAACTCGCCAGCGAGAATGTCCACTGCGTTATAGCATGGACGTTGAGTAGGACACAAGAACCATAATATATATTAGCTACGAGTATATTCCGATACTTAAAGATGATAGGTGATGATAGCGCGACCATTAACCACTCTGGCCGGCCTGCTTTCGCATATATAAAAAGTCAAGGGGTAAGTTGTTGATACATTCGTAATGAAATTGCTTGAAGTGGGTGCGATATAGATACTTTTCTCTTGAAATTTAGCATGCTAGAAAAATAGCCCGTTATAGATAGACGCCAAGGTATTACCAATATGATCGGGCTTGTCGTGAATTAAAAAAAGGTAAAAAAATACGCACATATCTTCTAGAAGAAGCCTCATTTATTTTTACGCGTAAATACAGCTTGATATTTCATAGAAAAACGTCCCAAAGGATGCCGTCCAGATATACGAAATAACTAAAGGGCATTTGCTCAAAAACAGATCTAGTTCTTACTTTGTACACTGTCTAACTTAAATCGCATGAATCTAAGCGTCATAAGCTATGGAACTTACGAAGGAGACTTTTATAATGGGTCTACATCGGACTTCCTGAATTAAGCGAGGTACCTATGCGAAAACCCATATGTTTTATGCAAAGGTATCCATTGTTTGGGGCCAGTTGAGCATGATTTCGGCACGTCGTGAAACGTGATAAGGTAACGTATCCAGTACCTGTATAAACATATGAAGTTGGTGTGTTCTACGTATAATGGAAAAATGACTAAGGTTTGGTCCTTAGCAAGACTCTTTAGCGATTGTGATAAGCGGAAACATAAACTGCGGTTTGCACGTCTCCTCAAAAAAGACACGACGCCTAGAAGAGGTTCCGCGGCCTAAGACGATCCTGATCGAGTTCTCTGCGACCTTCACAGTGGGATGTCTGCTTCTGCTAGGATAAAGGCGAATGGCACGTCTCGTTCACTCGAACCATTTGCGTCTGCTACTGAGCTCTCCATCACATAGACGGACGGAGCAAAGGGGGACAGAAGGGAACACGCACAGAGAAAAGACGAAAGATAAAGCATTTATGCGTTTTGTTGGTCGACGGGTAAGCCAGCAAACCTCTCCTAAATTCACCTAAACGTTCTGCCAGCACCCGCAAGCGACAACGATTTTATGTCGTCCGGAGGT